AGGCAGTTGGTGCAGGGCAGTGGGCAGTAGAGACCCTGAAGAGACCAGTGAAGGGATGATACAGTGTAAGCTCAGCCCTCTGGGACTGATGCGCTGAGGATGGCCAACAAAGGAGGGAGGTAAATCAATCACTTGGGTAACTATAGTCCAGGTACATGCACCTTCCAAACCCACCGACCGTAAGTCAGTGCAGACTCTGAGTGACCCCTGTGGATTTCCAAGACTGTAACTGTATACCGGAATAGAAAGAGCAGTCTTTCTCCCGTGGGGGTGCTCGTGCCAACCATGCAATCAAAGCCCAGCATGTACGTAACCACTACATCACCCGACCTCACTCAGGTTAACTATAGGCCAGGAAAACATACCTTCCAAACCCACTGCCACTGAGTCAGTTCCAACTCCTAGCAGCCCTCTACTGGGTTTCTGAACCCTATACAGAATCTTTATGGAAACAGGTTAATGGGTTTGAACCACCAACCTTGCAGCTGACAGTCTACTTACCCAGCAGCAGCATCAGGGATCCCTAAATGTACCTTTAAACCAAGAACCAAACCTATTCAGACTCATAGTGACCCTTTATAAGTGAGGGTTTCCGAGGCTGTGCATCTTTACAGTAGCAGACAGCCTCATCTGTCTCTCATGGAGTGACTGGTGGACTTGAACTGGCAGCCTCATGGTTAGCAGTCTAATGCTTACCCTACAGCCCCCACTCAGGATTCCACAGGGAGTCTAAAAAGCTACTTGAGGAGAGGCATCCAGTAGGAGACATCGACTTTACCTAGAAGCCATAATCAAGTGAAGTCCAGGAACCCTCATTACACTTGTGATAAACAAAAGTGCAGTCAGTGCTCTCAAACCTCTACCCACAAAACCCAAGCCACCGACAAAACCAGGGCCCCCATAATCCGGCTCATCTATTGATCTCACACATGGAAAGTGCTGTGATTAGCACTTGGTAAGTATTCAACACTTTGTAGGCCCCCCCTAAGTGTCAAGTGACTGTTATGTGGGGAGCATTCTCATTGTATCCTCTTCCATGCAGCCTCATCCCAGACTCCTTCTGCACCATTCCCTTCCCCAACCCCAGAGAGACTTGAGAGTCTTTGAGACTCACAGATGTATACTTAGACCCTGCAGCTCTAACTTTGCTACAGGATGGTTTCTGATGGGACATAAATAAACATGTTCAGTATGCATTTGATTGAATGCATTTCCAACACATAGGTCACTA